GAAGCCTGGGACAACAGTCTTGGAAAATGGGCATATCCTTGCGGGTCTCCTTCCTGTCCCTGGAGGGATCAGCACAGATGCAGTGTGAGGCACAGTGACTTCCTACAGTCTTTTGCATACCTCTCTTAACGCTTTGCTTGTTTTCCGTCCCTTGACATTTACCTAGAAGTGGTAAATGCTGGTTTAAATGATTCAGCCCCGTGTGCAGAAGGCAGGTGTGATTTGCCCTTGAAAGACCAACCTTGAGTTATTTGCATATCCAGGATTAATGAAAGGAATGCAGGGCTGAGGAGTTTGCCTTAAGACCGGTGCTAACAACATGAAGGCTTGCCTGCTTCTGTTAGCAGTGTAGTGTTTGCAATGAATACAACTTTTTGTTAACCAGTCCAATAAAAAAAAAGTCTGGATGTGCCTGAAGGGTTTCCTGTGGCACTTCAGAGACACCGTATCACAGGGGCTTACTCTGTCTCCAGAGTAACCTCAGTCCTGTAAGGGCTGTGTACAACAAATCTCTGAAAATTTGGGACCTAGTGACACAGGGACTTGCATGACCTTGAAGATTTTGGGACCTGGCTACACAGTTCCACAGCTGACCTGTGTTGGCAGTTCAACTACAAGTATCTAAACTGGACTTAGAGATCTCCATAGGTCCCTTCCAGCCAACACTTCGGTGATCCTGTGAATGGCTGGCCACCATTATGTAGCCCTGTCCTTCCTGGTAGTGCCAAAAGTGATATGATACGGAAGCATACCCGACACTGTGTGCTGTGAGAAAACTGTTGGGTTTTAGTCTGGGAGGTACTATAGTTGGTTTGACAAGAGAGAAAAGTCCCTTCGTCACTGCCAGAGAAATCCCATTGAGGCCGTCCTCATTCTGGAAATACCAGAAGAAATGTCAGATTTGCCTTGGGTCTTTTGCTGAATATAGGAGGGAGCGGACCCTAGGTATGGCCAGGGTCCTAAGAAGGGTATCTGCAGCAGGCTCTGCTCCAGGAGGTCTTTCTCCTAGCAGTTACCAGTGTTACAGACTGGATCCTTCTAAGCTGTTTGTTCAAATGCATTAGTCTGGGCAGAGAGTAGACGAGCGGCATGCAATTGCTCACCATGCCACACAAACTAGGAGCAGCAGGAGCACAAGTGAATGAGGAGCGCAAGTGCAGCACGTGTCCCCCTGCATTTCAGCATGTCTCTGTAAACCAGTTGGGTGCTGTGGCATTACTTTCACCTTTCATATGTTTCTAGCTGGTTAAAATTATATCTTGATAAGTACATGAAGTCGCAGCAGATGGCAAAATCTGAAATGTTCTCTCCAACTCTTTATTTTAATTAGCTTTTCAGTTATCCCTTTATGAAAAGCACTCTGTGAGTGTCTGGAAGTATTGCAAGTATTTAAATAAGCTCCTGGTGCGACTTCTCAGAGCTAAAGTTGACATTAATATCTTTATAAAAGACTTTATTGGGTTTTCTGTGTTGTCTTTAATCTTCTGTGGAATGTTTTGATCTTGTTCGGATACCAGTTTGATATCTTTTCTTGATTTGGTGCTGGACACATCAAAACATTGGCCGTCCAAATGATCTGTATTCCTTACTGCGGCAGTAATGCCGTGCAGGGTATAGAGACTGGTCAAAATGCATTTGTGCACAACTGAGCTATGGCCAGCACTGTGTTTACCGTACTGTATTTACCTTATTTATCGTATTTACAGAATGCAGCAGCTCATAGTCTCCTGACCAGCATTAAAATGACTGGATGTTTAACTAGCAGTCTGAAAATAAACTGTAATCACAGCTAGTAACAGTGCCTGTCAAAATGTTTGATACTTTCTTTTATAGTTGCATCCAAAATGCCATTTTTTAGTTAAAGTTGGGGAGAGTTTTGTGGGAATAGCAAAAAGCTAAAAATTATTGAGACAGTAGATAACCACCTGAGTATAGACTCAAAAGCATGTGAACTGTGTCGACTGTAATTCCACCCTTTTTTCTTTTTCCCTCAGGTTTACTTGAGGCACCAAAAAGGGAAACTTTCAATCCATGAGGTTAAATTTTATCCAAATTATAAACAGCTGGCAGGATATTGGTTAATAAGAGACAGTGCTAACCATGCCACCCATAGTTTCTGTATAAACATAGAAAGACATGGACTACAGTGGGGTAGAATTAGTTATTCTCTGATGATGCAGTTCACATACAACCTGCATATGGTACCAGAATGCATTTTAGAAGTGGATTTAATGATCCGTTACATTAATTACACAGAAGTATGAGAGTAAACTCATGGAATGGTGCTCATTTCATCTGCTGTGGCTCCAGTAACATTTTAGATGATGTGATGATATTCATTGCGTTATTGCAACACCAAAGAATTCTTACTTTCCTGGTTTGAAAGAAGTATGTAGCTGACACTGAACATGGGCGATAGCTGTTCTCAATGCAAAGATCCTATTTCTAGGTACAGATTAGTATTAATACTTTGATAAAGCTGGGAAGACATGGATCATACTGTGCTAGGTGCTATGCACACAATTCAGAAAGGTATCAAAGCCTCAAATAACAAAAAATAATACGTATAAGACAAGAGATGGCAAATGGACCTAATCCATAAATTAAGTAGTAAACTTGTATTTACTTCAAAAGTATTTAATTGGTGAGATTTTGAGCATAGCATTTCCTGTGCTGATTTCGTCTTCTGTTGCTCTTTCCTTTATCTTTTCCTGTGTTTCTCTAAGTATGCTTCCAACAAAAGCTCATATTAGGAAGAAAATACAACACATGTTTTGCAACAACAAAAATACTTCTGCAGGATATGTAAGATAATTAGTCAATGAGATTTTAAACATATGTTACCGAGTTTTATTTAATCATTCCTTTTGTCACAACTAAAAAGGAACATTTTCTAAGAAAATTTATTAGCAGGGTTAAATCGAGTACCATTCAGATCATCCTTATTTGGGAAATATTAATTGCCAAATTAGGATGGGGATGGGGAAAGTGTCTTGCTGTTTAGTCTATCAAAGGATGTTTAAAGAGGAAATACATTGCTAGTCTGTAAATGGTGACTAGGAAGAAAGGTGAGGAAAAGCATTGAAAGGTGAAATAGCTGGTTTTGAGAACCAAATGGGTATAAATTAGCTGTGAATAAATCGAGGTGGGAATTAGAGGCAGTTCCTAATCTTTAGTTAACGTAGGCTCTGAAGCAGAAGTCAAACCACACAGAAAAATGGCTTACTAAAACAGGAGTAGGAAACAGCTTTTTAATCTCATGTGTCCATAGTTTTGTGATGATACACTGTTGTGTTCAGCGCTGCTGCTATCTGTGCAATATTGTGACAGCTCTCTAGAACAAAATGATTTGTCCACACTGCACATTACTCATTTTAGTCTGTAAAAATTACTTTGATATTCTGAGGACAGAGTTCGTTTTCTTTATTCCCCTCCATATACCCAATTTATTTCCTTAGTATTAGTTGTTGCCTGCAATTACAAATGACAATTTTCTGTTTAAATTCTAAATTGACAGTAAAATACGAGAGGTAGAAGATGCAGCCTGGTGCATCATTTTGAGCAAAACAATAGAAAAAATGAGAACGTACTGTCTTGGTTCTTAATAATTGTGACACTGTAATATGGTATCTGATCATCAAATACTGTTTATTCTAAAGTCTTTCAGTACAGTCTATCAAACAGTAACTAAAATTACTAGAATTGTGACTTTAATTAAACTTCTATTTTGTGACAAGTCCAATAGGTGTAAATACTTTAAAGGGTATTATTGCTGTAGAGTGGAATAAACCTGCAGCTTTATTTCTTTCTTGTGTGTCTCAGTTTTTAATTGACATGGACCAATGTGAAAAATCAGGTAAGCTATTAATAACTCAGTAAGTGTCTCTGTGGACAAACAAGGATTTGAAATTGCATACTGCTGTGCATTTAGAGGTAATATTTAATTGCATAGTAATAAAGATGCAGTATCTTTAAATGTGTATCTTTTCATTTATTACCAAATTTGTCATGAAGGGGTAATAAACGAAATAGAATTTTTTTCTGTAGGCTGGAAGCAGGTTGGTTTTAAGGTGCCTCCTGCCGTTTAAGAAATGCCAGAGCTATTCATTTCTCACAGGTCAGATGAGAAGAGTGGAGTGTGTTTCGTGGGATGGATGTAATTTTTAGTGACACTCAACGTTGGCAGTGGGGTGTAGGGGGTGAGATATGGGTAGCCCTGAGATGTAGCACGCAGAAACACTCCACATTTATGATGGTTCTTCAGGGTCGTTGACTCCATGATACTCTTACTTTGGACTGTATTACGAGTGTGGCATCAAAATTGGCTTGAAACCTCCTTCTGTCTCCCCAAGCTGCTAACTTGGCACCACTCGCAGCAGCCTGCCTCCTTCTCCACCCACAGCTGCTGGTCCTGGGAGACTGGAGGGGGCTGAGGGGGGAGCTGGGGAGACCTTTTCTCTCCTACTGCTGAAAAGGGCTGTGGAGGATGATCACAAAACCCTCCTGGCCCCAGCAGCCAGTGGGAAGAATCGTGCCGAGACACCCTTTCCGTGGCATGTCGGTGAGCTCCTCACAGTCCCTGTCTGCTTGGGGCTGCACCTCTGACTGTACGGGGCAGGCACGAGGGTCTGCATGCCAAATGCTTCATGGCAGAGGTCCCTTCGTTGGTTTTCAGGGGTCCCTGCACAGCAGAGAGGGAGATGAGCCATGTGGCATGGCCTCAGCAGCAGCCACTGGTGGCTGCATGCAGGGCAGCATGCCCGCACAGGGGCTCACTGGGAAGAAATAGCCTGGCAGATGTCTTCTTTTGGTTTTTTTCCTTTACTGCATAGCATTTTTAATCATCTCTAATAATGCATTTGTCTGCCCCAGTTTGGGAACTCTGCTTTCTGGTACCTGTATGTGAATGCCTCTTGGCCTGACACGTTGAAAAATTGAGCTGTGGTTTCCAGCTGCGTGTTCACGTATTTAATAAAGGTTTTCTTTTTTGTTTGGTGCAGGGACGTATCTGCAGAAAAGCTGGCAAATCAAAAAAGTCATTCAGTCGAAAGGAAGCTGAAGCAACGTTTAAGAGTTTGGTGAAGACCCATGAAAAATATGGGTGGGTCACCCCGCCTGTCTCTGATGGCTGATGTTAGCAACCTGCACTTGACAAAAATGCTGAACAAAAGTACTGTGACATCTCCTCAGTGCTGTACGCCGCCCATCCTTTTCTACTTCAGCTTCAGTTACATATCATGAATGTCAAGGAGACATCTAAGTTATTTATGAACAGATGTGTTTACAGAGGGAGAGAAAAAAAAAATGCTGTGTAGGATTATATTTCAAGACTGGAGAATGGTCATCATTGAAGTCACTTGAGCGGATGCTGAGATTGCGTCATTTGCCCCCATACAGCCCACATTGTCTTCAGCTTCTTTCCATGACAGCAGCACCAAACAGCAGTACTGGAAAGTCTATCCATTACTGCCCAGTTCATTTAAATGTAAATGAAACAGTTAATATTTAATAGGGAAGCAGTGCATTGCAGGTACATGTTTGCTGTGCTGTTTATCTTTGTCTCCTAGCAGGTCAACATAACTTGAAGATTTGTCTTTATGTGGAACTGTGGTCTGCTGTGACTAAATTTAGACCTCATTTGTGCTCTATATATGACCTTTAATTCATAAATGAAACCAGAATTAAAATGCTGAAAGGTCCTAGTGTTGAAAAATTATTAAGTGGAATCACCCAACCGGTTACAATGTGCTATCTATGCTGATATTGTGATGTGCTGTTCAGAAATAAACCAGTGCAGTTAGCTGAAGGTTAGGTGGTTTTTTTAAACTCATCCACACCAGGGCTTGGAGTGGTTAGTTGGTGGTAGCAGAACCATTGTTACCCTGCGAGTACCTTCTGCAGTAGCATGTGGCCTGTCAGTTCTTCAAAATGGCAAAACAAATGAATGGAAATGGACAAAGCAACCTTAAAAAAATTATCTGCTTAATTTTTAAATGATATGCCAGTAACAGAGTAAAAGTTTTCAAGGCAAATGGAACATGGTTTGTAAGATGATTTGCATGACTGGAATTTTCTTTTTTATTTTCACTTAATAGACATTGTATGTACTTAGAGCCCAGTATCTGAGAAAATCCACTGATGTATATAAATGTCCTATTATTTAATCATTAAGATTTAAGTTTTCTGGTAAACAAATTGAAAAAAAACTTTCTAAGGGACTCCATAAAAGCTGAAGGTAATGTTTAGAATGGTATAAGAAAAGCATTAAAAAAATGTGGATTCCGAATGGAAAATCGTATTGGACACATGCTGAATAAAATCACCAGTATCGTTTCTGTTGCCTCAGGAATTCAATCATTTTGGCCAACCTTTGTATTCAAAGTAATAGGTTTCTACTGTGAAATTCTAGGTACGTTGTAGATATACCTGTTGTGGCAATACTTTCATTGAAAGGAGGACAGCATGGATTGTAAAACTAATTTGGAGTGAGGAAAAAGGTATGTGTTTGAAAATGCTTTCCATTCTATGGCTAACACAAGACCAAATTGAAATGGTTGACCAGTTTCTGTTTGTATTACAGCAACAGGGACACTGTACAGAGAGTTTTGGGGTTTGGAGTTTGCTTTAAAAGTACACACAGTGGAGAAGAACAAGAGAGTAATGAAGTACAGAGGAGTTCTAACGCAAGCAAAGAAGCAGCACGGCAGATACTTGTGCAGAAACACTGCTCAGTTTATCTACCTGTAGATGCTTTGCCAGTGTAGCTGTTCATCAGCTAGATAGGGAGGGAAGTAATCAAAGCCTTCACCAAAATGATTATGCAGGTTAGAGCCACTCAGTTTTGTGGATGAGGTTGGTTTCTTAACACTTCTCATCTCCACCAGCTGCCTCTTCTCTTTCTTCTCTGACCATTTGTGGTACCCACCTGGTGTGCTTTATCTCAGTTATAAATGGAAATGCTTCATACCACAAATCTGCACGGATCTTGCTGTGATTTATCTCGCCCTGTTTTATACTTGGAGAGGATGCTATAATCAATGTGTATATACTTTTCCCCTCAAACTGTTCTGTGCATCCAGCAGCAGAATGTGTCTTTTGAGTGAGAAATAACATTTCAAGTAACTTATTTATTCAGTTTTATAAACATTTCCTTGTGTTGTGAAAGAGGAAACTAGTGTGTTTAGTTAGGTATCTAATAATTTGCAATCCCTAGTGGGACTCCCAGAGAACATATAAAGGGATCTAGCACTGCAAAGCATGAAGTTTGTTATTTCCCTTCAGAAAACCTCTTCCCTCATCAGCACAGTAAAATGACATTAAAAGCAGTGTGAAGGTGTGGTAAGTTGGGGGGG